GAAAATTTTAGAAAATTGCTGTCATTAGCTGTCCGCGAATTTCTGTAACTGTCCGCAACTGTCCGTAGCTGTCCGTAGCTGTCCGCAGCTGTCCGAGACTGTCCATAGCTGTCCGGTACTGTCCGCAACTGTCCACAGCTGTCCGAAACTGTCTGTAACTGTCCGTAGCTGTCCGTAACTGTCCGTAGCGGTCCGTAACTGTCCGTAACAGTCCGTAACTATTTGTAACTGTCTGTAGCTGTCCGTAACTGTCCGTAACTGTCCATAAGTCTGGATAAGTCTGTGTTCCAAATTGACCCGGCTGGCGGTGTTCGTGCTAGCCACAATCGCACTTATTGAAAAGTCCACCTTGCCCTGGTGGTCACTACTATTGAAGTGTTTGGAGACGGGACACTGTTTATCTTGTGTAATGTTTCGGAGGTGTTCGGTACACCCGTCAGAGAGACGGCGTCCAGTCTCCCCTATGTACGTTTAGCAATCAGACTGTGAGGGTGATAAGTTAAAATGAGTTTTGTCCTGTCAACATTGTCGCTCAGACGTGGTCTGAAGGCACCAGCACGTGTAATATTATTAACCCTTTGGAGGGCTGATGAATGTACTGTCTCCGGGTAAGACCTACACCGGAAAAAGTCTATCATTTCAAGTGCCTTGTCCCAAAAGTCCTCATCCGACAGACAAAGTCAACGAAGACGAAGTAATTGAGAGAAAGGAATAGAGTCCTTACAGGATTTAGGGTGGGATGAAGAGTAGAGTAGATAGCTGTGGCTGTCAGTGGGCTTAAAGTAGGCAGATGTGAGTAGGCTGTCTTTGTGAAGAGTGACTGTAATGTCTAAGAAATTGACTGAGGTCTCAGAGATAAGAGATGTGAATTTAATGGAGGGGTGAAAGGAGCCTACAAAGTTAATGAACAGGTCAAGTTCACTCCTCTCCATAGTGGTGACCCCTATACCATCATCTATGTACCTCTTATAGAATTCAGGGAGGCGTCCAGTATAGCTGCTTTCGACCAAGTGTTCGAAATGCCCCATGAACAAGCAAGCATAGCTGGGTCCCATTTTAGTCCCCATAGCAACACCACTGATTTGGTCAAAGAATTGGCCACCAAACTCAAACGAATTGAGGGTGAGGACTAGTTCAGCCAATCTGAGGAGGGTGTTGGTGGGTATAGATGGGTGGGGTCTAGTCTCGAGAAAGAATTTGAGAGCTAAGAGACCGTCAGTGTGGGGGATGGAAGTGTATAGAGAACATACATCAAGAAGAAATAGATGATGTTTCTTTTCAGGAGGGATTATGATGGATTCAAAGGTTTGAAGAGCATGGTTGGTGTCCTTAATGTAAGTAGGCAGTGAGGCAACGATGGGTTGAAAAACTCCATCAAGGAATTCCGAGATATGTTCGGTGGGGCAAGAGCATGCTGAGACAATGGGTCTGCCAGGGTTACCATACTTATGAATTTTGGGAAGTAGGTAGAAGCATGGCTTACCGAGGTCACTATCGAAGATGTGTAGGGCAGAGGCCGATTTGGGGAGCGCTGATTCTGCAATCATTTTCTTGATAGTCCCTTTCATCATGTCGTTATGTTTGGTGATCGGGTTGTTGGTCCTCGGTTGGTAGAACTGGCTGTCTTCTAGTTGCCTATGAGCCTCCTTGATGTACAGATCTCTGTCCCACACCACAACAGCTCCCCCCCTTATCAGCTGGTTTGATGACGATATCTTTCCGACTGCGCAGCTTAGAGAGTGCGAGTGATTCTCTTTTAGAAAGATTGGATTTCCGGAGTGGAGGTCAAGAGAGCTTCTTGATGTCATGTTCCGTGCTCTTTATATACAGGTCTAAAGCTTTAGATTGATTAGAAGGAGGTGTCCAAGTAGATTTGCGTTCCCTATGAAATGGGAAAATCTCGTCTTCGGGGAGGTCGGTACTTTTCCCACCGAAGTGAAACTGAAGCCTCAAGGAACGAAAGTAGCGGTGGGAATCCGAAAGAAGTTGATATCGGTCGCAAGATGGTTTCAGAGGAATAAATTTAAGACCCTTAGAAAGTAGCGACCTTTCGTCATCAGAGAGTTGAAGTTCAGGGGGGATGCACACGACTAAGTTGTTGCCTGTGACAGTTGGATGAGGTGTAGAGTTGTTAGTGGGCCTAAGATTGTCGAGTTTTTTTCTTTTTGTTGACTTTGACTTGAGGAAGCCAGGGTGCCCTCTGCGCACAGTTACATCTCGTGACCTCCGAAAAATTGATCTAGTGGCCTTCAGATGCGACGTCGCCGCCCTCAGGTGCAGTGAAAAAGACCCTGTGACAGACTACACCAATGGCCTTCGAGTCATAATAGACAAACATGCACCACTGACCACACGGCGCGTTACGGACCGCCCTTCCGCCCCATGGCTCTCGCCCAAAATTAAGGACGCGAAGCAAAAACAGCGACGTGCAGCGTCGGGCTTGACCGTGCACCGACAAATCTTTGTTCACCAAAGGGAACGAACCAAAAAGTTGGTCCTTGCAGCTAGGACAGAGCATGTTAGACACCAGATTTATAGACAGCAGCTCAAGCAAGGACTTATTATATTTAGTTTACATGTTTTTAATTATTGTAAAGCGCTTAGAGCTTTAAGGTAAGCGCTATATAAAAATGCCTAAATAAATAAATTTCGCATTGTGGGTCTGCTGACCGGTAAATACCAGGCTACATCTCTGCCTAATAACTTTGCTGAAGGCGAGCTGCCAGACGTTCTAAATGACTTCTTTATTATGAAAGCTAAGAAGATCAGGGTGAGACTTGACAGTTGCATCGATGCTGCCCCAGAATTCTCACTCTTCAACGGCTCTCCTGTGGGTGAATTTGTTGAAGTCAATCAATCCAATGTGAGGAAAATCCTGGCTGATACCCCAAGAAAGTCATGTTCGCTTGACCCTCTTCCAGCAGGGCTGTTGTATGAATGTCTGGATGAAATAGTCCCCATCATCACTTGTATCATAAATCAGTCCTTGACAACTGGCCCATCCTCGTTTAAAGAGGCGATTGTCACGCCATTGTTAAAGAAAGCAAATCTTGACTCAAATGTGATGGAAAATTATCGCCCCATCTCAAATCTACCATTTATATCCAAAATTTTAGAAAAAGTCGTTCTCCGCCAACTCCTGAATCACCTCATTCAGTGTGACTTGCTTGAACCTTTCCAGTCAGCCTACAAGGCGCATCACTCCCCAGGGCTCGGTCCTAGGCCCGGTGCTTTTCACGATGTACATTCAGCCCCTGGCTGCAGTGGTCAAGCAGTTTGACATGCAATACCACATGTTCGCGGACGACACCCAACTTCATCAATCCGTGATCCTCTCTCAGTTCTCTCAGCTTCTCAGTATGACACAGAAGACAGTGGAGTCAGTTAAGCAATGGATGACCATAAACAAGCTCAAATTGAACGATCAAAAGACCGAGCTGATCCCCATTGCTACCGCTCAAAAGCAAAAATCTGCAAATAACACATCACTTACTCTCTCAGGTGTGCGTATTGAGTTAGCTCAAACAGTGCGGTACCTGGGTGTCTACCTAGATAGAACACTAACTTTAGAAAGTCACTTTAACATGCTATGCAAGACGATTTTTTTAGAGCTGCGCAGGATTAGTCACATCAGGCCCTTCTTAACAATTAATGCAACAAAGAGGCTAAAGTCTGTATTTGTGCATCACGCATGGACTACTGCAATTATCTCATGGTGGGTCTTCCAGCTACGCTCCTGGATAAAATTCAAATAGCACAGAATAATGCGGCTCACACTGTTCTTCGCAAACGTAATAAAAGTTCGACCATGCTAAAACACTTCTGAGAGAACTGCACTGGCAGCCGGTTCGCACTCGCATATATTACACAATTGCAACTTTGCGCTACCGCTGCTTACATGACCTGGCGCCGTCCTATCTCAAAGCACTCGTGACGACTTATGTACCCACTAGACAACTCCGCTCATCCGATAGTGGCAAACTCTCGACACCACGTGTTCGCCTTGAGACTTACGACAAGCGCACTTTCGCATATGCTGGCCCAACAATTTGGAACGCCCTTCCTGTCGCTCTCAGAAACAACCAGACACTGGAGTCCTTTAAAACTGATTTAAAGACACATCTTTTTCGCAAACACCTTCTGGGATGATGTTGTCTACCACATTTTCCAGTTAATGCATATTGGCTGTGTTGCTTATGGTTGAAATGGGTAGAAAGACTTTGACTTGGTATGCTTGTAATTAGTTTTTGTAGAGTTGCGTTTGTTTTAAATGTGGTAAATTATATATTTTTAAACATGGTTGACTTTGTACCGCACTTCGAGCCTTTGGGGATGAAGCGTTTTTTTCAAATAAACTTTATTATCATTATTTATAATATTATTAATTATGTCTGTGTTCTGGTTGTTTAAAAAATAAACGCATTGTACAATTATAAAATGAATGTTTTTTTTTTTTAAATTCGATTGTATTTATTTTAATTATAACCCCTTTGGGATCTGTCAAAGGGATTGTTTTGCTAGCGGTGTTTTCATATTCGTGTTTTGGTAATGATGCTTTGAAAGTGGTGTTTTGATAGCGGTATTTTGATAGTCGTCTTTTGATAATGATGTTTTGATAGCGGTGTGTTGATAGTCCTGTTTCGGTAATGATGTTTTGATAGTCGTGTTTTGGTAATAATGTTTTGATAGTCGTGTTTTGGTAATAATGTTTTGATAGTCGTGTTTTGGTAATAATGTTTTGATAGTCGTGTTTTGGTAATAATGTTTTGATAGTCGTGTTTTGGTAATAATGTTTTGACAGTCGTGTTTTGGTAATAATGTTTTGATAGTCGTGTTTTGGTAATAATGTTTTGATAGTCGAGTTTTGCTAATGATGATTTCTTAGTGATGTTTTGATGGTCGTATTTTGGTAGTGATGTTTTGATAAGATAATGAACCATTTTATTCACACCAAACATGAACAAATCTCTTCACACCAATGTCATGAACAAATAAATGAATTTTATAAACAATAATTACATTTTATTATTGTTATTTGTCATCAGAAATAAACAAAATATCAATTCGAATCAATATTTAGTAACTATTTTAAATTCATTTTGCAGAGAGTAGTAAATACATTTCAAGGAATTTTGCAGAGAATAGTATATACATTTCAAGGAATTTTGCAGAGAATAGTATATACATTTCAAGGAATTTTGCAGAGAATAGTATATACATTTCAAGGAATTTTGCAGAGAATAGTATATACATTTCAATGACTTTTAAATAAGGATGTTTACAAGTAATATCAGTAGAAGCAATGAAAGAAAGTAATTAATACCTTAAAATACTACTATAATACTAGTACTATTACATTTTTGGGGGGGTTAAAACAGTAGATTTATCCTGAAGAGAATTTACCAGCCTTATTGTGTTTCTGATTGGAAATTCAATCTCTCTTGATTTATCACCAAAAATTTATTTTAAGGTGTCTGTAAAACTTGTATTTTCATCAATTAAATTTGGCTTAGCTAGTCATTTTCAGATTACCTTACACAAGCATTACAGATATCTTCCATTTAATATAAAAATACAGTAGGTACAAAAAAAACCCCATATCACTCACCAATGACTACGTCTTCACAGACACATTTAAATTGAATAAAATTGACTTCAAATTCAAGGTTAGGAAAGCATTCTCATTTCCAGCTCCTACCAACATTTCTTGAATGATTGCTACGATTGTGTAGGTCTCAAAGAATCTTTTGTTGGATCTAAAATGATAAAGCACAAAAAGTAAACAAAACATTAACTAAGGAAAGTTATACAAAAAATTAATTAATATTTTCTTGAATTTCTTTAAAATAAGAATGCTGCACAACTATTTCTGGGCATGGGATATACTTATTGTAACTGTAGAAAGTACCACACTTCTTATTGTCGCTGTAGAAAGTTCCACACTTATTGTCACTGTAGAAAGTACCACACTTATTGTCACTGTAGAAAGTACCACACTGATTGTCACTGTAGAAAGTACCACATTTATTGTCACTGTAGGAAGAACCACACTATTGTTAATGTAGAAAGTACCACACTTATTCTCACTGTAGAAAGTACCACATTTATTGTCAATTGTCACCGTAGAAAATATCACATTTGTCACTGTAGAAAGTACCACACTGATTATCACTGTAGAAAGTACCACATTTATTGTCACTGTAGAAAGTACCACACTGAGTGTCACTGTAGAAAGTACCACATTTATTGTCACTGTAGAAAGTACCATTAAGTGGAACAGAAACAACTAAAATATTTAGTACTTACTTAAGTTTAGAAAGTTTCTGTAGTATAATGCTTAGCCTCTCCATCACCCGTACGTCAGACAGTGGCGTGCGTATCAGTAAGGCGGCTGAGCGGAAAAAGTTTTCATTGCTGCAGCTTTCAAGGAAGTTGTGTTGGAAGGGAGAGTCAGCAGACATTTGAAGAAGAATCTCCATGGCAACAGAGGTAAAATTCTGGATTGAGAGGAGAAACAAATCGTTGCCCGATGACACAGAACAGTTTTTAATGAGGAGGGCTCCTGTCCAGACTTATCACACATTATTTTGATGTAGCAGTGGATGTCTAGGCGTTGAGACAAACAACAGCACAGATAAGACAGACAACAGCACAACTTTAGACATACAAAAGCACACACTGAGACAAACAACAGCACAGTTGATACAGATAAAAGCACAAGTTGAGACAGACAAAAGCACAAGTTTAGACAGACAAAAGCACAAGTTGAGACATACAAAAGAACACATTGAGACAAACAGCACATATGAGACATACAAAAGCACACATTGAGACAAACAACAGCACATATGAGACATACAAAAGCACACATTGAGACAAACAACAGCACAGATGAGACATACACAAGCACAAGTTGAGACAGACAAAAGCACAAGTTGAGACAGACTAAAGCACAACTTTAGACAGACCAAAGCACAAGTTGAGACAGACAAAAGTGCATCATGACATAAATGATCCAAACAACTCCAGGTGCTAAGATGACAATGAAATGTTTTATTACTGATATAAAGAGCTCTTCTGTCAGTCTCACTGCACTATCACCTGTCTGTATCGACTAACTCTAGGTTTCTCTATTTTCATGTGCATATCTCCTGATTCAGCTTGATTATCGTAACTCAAATGTCTCTACTCGGCTCAACTGAACCAACTCTTAACTGTTGAAATGTCTTCAGACAGCTACCTCAGACGTCGACCTTTTATTCAGTTCTGGTATGCCCCATCCTATTAACATATCCCTGACGAAACACCCAAAGTCCCCCCGGTTAATTTGGAACTCCCATTGTTAACTCCAAATTTGCATACATTCCCTGGAAAGCCAGAAACCTAATATAAAAAAAGATAACGCTCTCTATCTTGAGATGTGAGGATCTATCAACTTTGACCTCCTACTACCCAAAATAACAGCAATTTCCGGCCAACTTCAAAGTTACCTGAACAACACTGGGGTACTATCCTATATATGTGACACCTAAATATTTGTTTAAAAATTTCCACAAAAAAAAAGAAAAATATTTACAAGATCTAAGAGTGACATTTTGTTTTTCAGCATTCTTAATAGTTGCCCTTCAATTTTTTTTTACCCTAAAACAAACTAGTAAATTGTTAAATAAACACCAACCTTCCTGGTTGGATAAATTAAAATGTGAGTGCTTAGTCAAATGTCACATTAACAAAAAAATTGCTGTAGAATTGTATACCGTAACTTAAAAAACAATAAATTTTGTGCATGCTTCTGATCAAGAATGTTCTTCTCCCTTCATTGGATGTTGGAATTTTTATCAACGCTTAGTGGTTAATTAAAAAAAAAAAAAAAAAGGTTAAGCATAATCAGCCTTTGCACATTTGAAAATACTATTTCTGCATAACAGATGATAAAATTTTACAATGACAAACGGGTAGAGCTTTCTGGCTTACCTTATTTACTGGTTTTAAGTAGAAAATGATGACATTTGTGGCTTGGTAATAAAGGAACAGCTCTTTGGCCTGGTCAGTTTTAAGCTCTGTTTTCAGCAGATCAAAGCCCTGGGCTATAACATCAGCTAAACAGGAACATATAGAGGAGTAGTCAGTGTCATAGTCAGATTACGTGCTGCTGTTTGAGGTGTGTCATGGCTTGTACTTTGTGTTGTTGTTATGTGAGCCAATGGGTTTATTTTTTCCTTTATTCATGAGGTGGATTTAGCCACATCTGACTTCTTGGGTGCGGGCTTGAAAACATTAGTATAAAAGGTGTGTATTTTTTGTGACTGTCAGTTATATTTTTTTGAATAGTCAGTTACTATATTTTTATAATAGGATGTGTAGGATATTCAGGAAATGTATATTTATATTGAAACGATTATTTCTTGAGGGCAGTTTTGAAGCCTGTCATGTTCGTTATGTTGCGGATGTGTAATGGGAGAGAATTCCATTGTTTTGGGGCACAGAAAGAGAAAGATCGTTCACAATATGTTTTAGTGCATGTTCTGGAAACAGAAAGAATATGCGTGTCTGCAGAGGAAATAAGCTTTCAAAGGGGTGAATGGACAGTAAGAAGTTCAGTAATATATGAAGGGCAGGAACCAGAGAAAAAGTACTGACAGAGAAGAGACAGCTTGTAATCAATGCGTGCCTGTATAAGAAGCCAATGAAGTGATTGAAGTTATGGAGTGACGCGGTCACGTTTCTTTGCCTTTAGAACTAACCTAGCAGCTGAGTTTTGAACTTTCAAGCACTTTCTTGCCTTTTAGAGAAAAACTAACTATGGTGACCTCATGCAAACAAAAAAAAGCATATTAGCCTCCATCTACTTACCCCGAGTTAAAGTTTTTAATACTATTAGTGTTGACAGCAGCCTCACATGGTTGTTTGAACTGCGCATGAAAAGTGGTTCTTTCAACTTCTCACTCAGGGCGGCAGGTGTGGCCATAATTTTCTCTACCTCTGTTACCTTAGCCGATTTGGGGTAATAAATCTCCTCACCCAGTCGCCTCATGGTTGTAGACATACTGACATTCTATGATAAGAGAGGGAGGTAAGACCATTGTGACATACTGACATTCTAATGACAAGAAAGGGAGATAAGACCATTGTGTCATACTGACATTCTATGACAAGAAAGGGAGATAAGACCATTGTGTCATACTGACATTCTATGATAAGAGAGGGAGGTAAGACCATTGTGACATACTGACATTCTAATGACAAGAAAGGGAGGTAAGACCATTGTGACATACTGACAAACTATGACAAGAAAGAAAGGCAAGACCATTGTGTCATACTGACATTCTAATGACAAGAAAGGGAGGTAAGACCATTGTGTCAGTGATACAAAATTTTTGAAACAATTTTTTTTTTTTTTTTAGAAAATGTCTTGTAGCCCTTATAAAATAATTATCTTCAGGAAATGTGTGATGGTCATCCCAAGTCAGGATACAGGAATTAAATAGATGTGCGATTTAAAAAAAAACTCTATCAATTAAAAAAAATTAAGGTAGTTAAATTACAGTAAAATTTTTGAAACAATTTTTTTTTTTTTTTTAGAAAATGTCTTGTAGCCCTTATAAAATAATTATCTTCAGGAAATGTGTGATGGTCATCCCAAGTCAGGATACAGGAATTAACTAGATGTGCGATTTAAAAAAAAACTCTATCAATTAAAAAAAATTGATGTAGTTAAGTTACAGCTGATGTAGTAAGTCTCGAACAGAAAGCAAAGCTTGATGTGTGTGTAACTGAAGAATACTTAGATTTATAATTGTAGTACTCAGTACAATGATTTATAACTAGCGGTAATCTCTGGGAAAAACATAACAATACCCTAATTTATTACTTATTTTCATCTGTAGATCTAAATGACACAAAATGCATTGTGGGTAAAGCTGGGTAAATGACACAAATGCATTGTGTGTAAAGCTGGGTAATGACACAAAATGCATTGTGGGTAAAGCTGGGACCCACCTGCTGAGTTTGTATCTGATCTATGTGCAGAAGTGACCAATAAATAAACTGTAGACATGGCAGGCAGCAGCGAAGATTGGAGGCATTGTCTCGGAGAATGTCAACGAGATTCGGAAGTACCTGAAATAAACAGGGAGGTCATTTAAATATAATAATGTGTCTGACATGTGCTGTCTGTCGTAATAAAAAAAAAATGTCCTACCATATAAGATAAGATTCTTTTATTCATCCAAATAAATGGAATTAGTACATCTTCATCTTCAGCATAGGGATAAATATTCTTACCACGACATTTTTGAAAAAGAACAATGCAAACATAAGACATCTAATGCAGCATTTCCAAATTTTTAAGTTTCACGGAGTGGTGGACAAGTTTTGAAACTGCACCAGGGACCGTTTCCAGATTTATTAATTACATTTTCTTTCTATTTAAACATCAATATTCATGCTCTCTGGACCGGTAATTTAGGCTTGCGGACCGGTGCCGGTCCACGGACCACCATTTGGGGAGTGCTGATCTAATCTATAAGTCTTCTGTTATATACCATTAGAGACCGACCGAAAGTGATTTTCTGATTTCGGCCGAAGCCGAAAATAGGCCGAAAGTTTAAAATGACTTCGGCCGAAACCGAAAAAAGGCCGAAAGTTTAAAAAGGACTTTCGGCCGAAACCGAAAAAAGGCCGAAAGTAAAAAATTAATTTTGGCCGAAACCGAAGCCGAAACCGAAACTGAAATATTAAGATATTTTGAAATTCGTTCCGGCATACATTCTGCTTGCATCGAAAATGATGTGGGAAAGTATAAATATTTACATTCTTTTTATAAAAATGAGATAATCGTAAATATTAATAAATAAACATCTAATTTAGGGGTCCCAAACTCACGCCAGGGAGCCATTTGTGACCCGCAAGACGATATTTTGCGGCCCGCTACATGACAGAAAAGTTTAGTGTAAATGTGCCGGCCCGTTTCCCCCATTCTCATATCTATAACGTGACTCTCCACGACGGTTTCAGTCGATCTCACCGACTAATCTAATTCTGATTTTTTTTTTAATGAAGCTATATATTTTTGTATGCCAGGTTCTTGAGATCCCTTAATTATTTCATTGTTATTTATAAAGGTTGACCAGATTGTAACAGTTGTAATCGCTTTTTTTGTGGATTATTTAATGCGGCCCACTCTTATTCAGACACTACCTCCTGTGCCCCCCCCCCGCCCCATAATTTGAGTTTGATACCCTTGATCTAATGAATACTTTGGATTTTACCATTTTAATATAAAAGTAATTTAGCTTGCTTTACAATTTTTTCAAATTTGTATGGTAGGAGAAAATTTGGCAAAAATTGGGGAGGGGGGAGGAGGAGGGGAAATTAATGCATAATATTATTTTTTTAAACCGGGTCTCTAAAAAATATGGTTCTAAAAGATCACTTAATTTGTTTTTAAAGATCGTTTAGTTGGTTGTTATTGATCGGTTAGTTTGCTCTTAAAGATCGGTGAGTTTGTTCATAAAGATCGCTTAGATTGTTCTAAAATATCGCATAGTTTCATCTTAAAGATCGCTTAATTTGTTCTTAAAGATCACTTAGTTTGTTGTTAAAGATCACTGAGTTTGATGTTAAAGACCGTTTAGTTTGTTCTTAAAGATCACTTAGTTTGTTGTTAAAGATCGTTTAGTTTGTTGTTAAAGACCGTTTAGTTTGTTCTTAAAGATCGCTTAGTTTGTTGTTAAAAATCGTTTAGTTTGTTGTAAAAGATCGCTTAGTTTGTTGACAAAGATCGTCCAGTTTTTGTTAATGATCTCTTTATTTTTTTCTTAAAGATTGGTTAGTTTGTTCATAAAGATCGCCTGGTTTGTTGTTAAAGATCGTTTAGTTTGTTATTAAAGATCGCATAGGTTTGTTGTTAAAGATCGTCTAGTTTTTGTTAATGATAGCTTTATTTGTTCTTAAAGATCGTTTAGTTTGTTCATAAAGATCGCTTAGTTTGTTGTAAATTCACTTAGTTTTTTCATAAAGATCGCTTAGTTTGTTCTTAAAGATAATTGAGTTTGTTCCTTAAGATCAATTTGTTTGTTCTTAAAGATCTTTCAGTTTGTTCCTAACGAACATTTAGTCTTCTGTTAAAGATCGCTTAGTTTATTCTTATAAATCATTAAAGATCATTTGTTTTGTTCTTAAAGATCTTTTAGTTCGCTCTTAAAAATCGTTTAGTTTGTTTTAAAGATCGTTTAGTTTGTTTTTAAATGTCGCTTAGTTTGTTGTTAAATATCATTTAGTTTGTTCTCAAATATCGCTTAATTTGTTCTTAAATGTCGCTTAGTTTGTTGTTAAATATTGCTTTTGCTTAGTATTAAATGACCGAAAACCTGAGTCACTTTCGGCCGGATGGCCGAAAGTCTAACTCAATTTCGGCCGAAACGGAAGAAAAACCAAAAGTTAACTTTTCTCTTTCGGCCGAAACCGAAATTAAGCCGAAAGTTAACTTTCCAGTTTCGGCCGAAACCGAAAATTGGCCGAAAGTGATAAAATGGCCACTTTCAGCGCCAAAACCGAAGCCGAAATTCGGTCGGCCTCTATATACCATAAAACTTCACTTCTGATTGAAAATATTTACTTTAATTAAAACTGATTGTTTGATTTTGTTATAGCCACAGATACAATTTTCAAATGATCAACTAGAAATGCTATTTGCAAACAAAAAAGTTTTTAAAAACAATTAATCATTATTGGCATTTTTTAGCTAACAAGCAAGAATAAAAATTACTAGGCCAGCACTCATACACAGTTATGAAGTGACTAGGCCAGCACTCATACACAGTTATGAAGTTACTAGGCCAGCACTCATACGCAGCTATGAAGTGACTAGGCCAGCACTCATACACAGTTATGAAGTGACTAGGCCAGCACTCATACACAGTTATGAAGTGACTAGGCCAGCACTCATACGCAGCTATGAAGTGACTAGGCCAGCACTCATACACAGTTATGAAGTGACTAGGCCAGCACTCATACGCAGCTATGAAGTGACTAGGCCAGCACTCATACGCAGTTATGAAGTGACCAGACCAGCACTCATACACAGTTATGAAGTGACTAGACCAGCACTCATACACAGTTATGAAGTGACTAGACCAGCACTCATACACAATTATGAAGTGATTGACAAATTATCCAGAAGTTCACCCACCTTGAGCACACGCTCCTGAATAAATGCGGGTGCACAGTAAGTTTCTGATGGTTTAGTTGGCATCTCTGTCAGGGCTTGACGTAGGTGTGCCTCACACACCCAATCCAGAAGGGCCGACAGTGCGGCAGAGTACACATGTACTGAGCTCTGCTGATAAAAATTGAATCTTTTGTCATTTTTTGACGATACATTGTTCTCTTTTTTAAACATATCACTACTTAAAATTGCAAAGGGAAACTACAATATAAACATTGAAACCTTCGCAACTTAACTACACATCAAAACTTGAAACACATGAACATGATCTTACCCGACTCTGTTTAGCAGACTTTTGCAGTTTTTCATCTGGTTTATCCCCAGGCTTAGGACCAGCCGCTTCTTTTCCTTGGTCTGCGCTAGCTTCAATGGACTGTTTCATCACTTCAGAGTCTTTCAATTTGAGTTCATACTCTTGTTTCCTCTACAAACATATTTGAAAATTGTCAGTTGACATCTTATAATAAATATGTGATGAATCATTGTTTGACTTTAAAATGAAGTATATGACGAAAAGGGTCAACTTACCTGTAAATTTGTAAGTCTTGCTTGTAAACTGTTTGATGTTTTGATGAGCTTAGCATTCTGAGCACTAAGGACCTCAAGCTGCGAGGCAAGAAAGATTGAAGGAAAAACATCACTGATAAAATCACTGTTATTTTAAAAGCAACTCTATAAGTATTCTAGCAGGAGGTTTTTGATTAGTTAAAAATAATGTATGAAAAAACATAGTGCAATTAGTCTTACATTTTCTTTTTATATACAAAAAAAAAAAAAAAAATTAAAAAAAGCAATTAATTTAAAATATTTAAAGTAAAAGTTAAATAGTAAGTGATCTCTAAAGACGTACTTCCTTTTTCATTATATCATTTGCCTGCTTCAATGTTTCAAAGTTTTCCTTTAATCTCTTGTTTTCTTTTGTTTTTTCTTTTAATGCTTGGTCCATTTGTTTCAGTTCATTGCCAAACCTCTGAAAGACAGTGTTTTAGTTATTGATAAAACTTGGGAAGAATTATAGTCAGTGAAAAAGTTTGTATCCTTGTTCAGTATCTGCATTTTTCTGCTTTTTCCACCCTCAATGAAAGTCAATTATTAATATTCTTTAGAGCTATCTCCCTTTATAAATATTATTTAGAGCTATCTCCCTTTATAAATATTCTTTAGAGCTATCTCACATTATTAATATTCTGTAGACCTAGCTCATTGCTAATTTAAAAAAAGAAGTATGGAAATTAAAATATATAATCATTTGGTTAATTTGAAGAAATTTGAAAACTTAGAAGGAAAACAAAAATTGTTTTTCCATTTTAAGTGATTAATGCATAACTTTTTTTATGCAATGTAGCTTTAGACTTGTGTTCATTACACGTTTTAAAAAGAAATACTTAATAATTCAACTTATTAAAAAAAAAAAAGAATCTGTTAAGGAATAAATCCACTCACTTCCTCCATAGCCATCAGCTTCAATTTGATCTGATGCTCTGTAACAGTCTGTAAGCTTTCTTGAGATATGGCCAGCATTCTCTCTCTTTCCTTTAGCTTTGCTTCTCTCTCATGAAGAATACGATTCTCTTCCTTGTTTGGATTCATTATAATCACAATATTAATTGCTTTCAAACTGCATTTTGCCTGAAGTAACATTTTAACTTATTCAATAAACTTTCAAATTATTAAATAAATAATGAAAACTGTTCCTGCTGCCTTTTTTCATCAATCGGCTATAAAAAGTAATAAAATTACTTTGTCTTAACAGATGGTTTGAAACTAGGATAACACAAACTAGATCAGTGGTTAACAACTACCCCCCTATAAGCCAAACACAACTACCCCCCTATAAGCCAAACACAACTACCCCCATATAAGCCAAACACAACTACCCCCATATAAGCCAAACACAACTACCCCCATATTAGCCAAACACAACTACCCCCCTATAAGCCAAACACAACTACCCCCCTATAAGCCAAACACAACTACCCCCATATAAGCCAAACACAACTACCCCCATATAAGCCAAACACAACAACCCCCATATAAGCCAAACACTACTGCGGGCATATTTTCTAAAGACAACTACTCCCATATAAGCCTAATACAACCACTTGCACGTGTGCCAAACGAGGCCTGTAAACAACTTTCGTCTCTAAAAATGACTATTAAATAATAACCCAATTTTTCACTAATTACTTTAACTTTTTAAACACATTTTAATTAAGTAGTGTGATGCAAAATAAGACTGCAATGAGGAAGCAAGCATTGATAATTTTTTAAGTAATAATAAAATGAAAAAATTTCACACAATTCTTGGCCATCTAAAATTAGTGATATAATGAACATACAACTTTTGTATTGTATAGCTGTTGCACAACAACTTACAATCTTTGATTTTACCACGTTTTGGAAGTAATTGTCATTCATTTTGAAAAGGTTCATCTAATGTGCGAGACAAAGTTTTATTTTACTCAATATTTTGCTTTGCGCTTTTTCCATATTTAGTAATGACAATTCAGCATGGTTGTCTGGTTGTCTTAAAAAGGTTGTCTGCCCTCTAAACTAGATCAAAGATTGGCCTAAAAATTTACTACTAAATATATGCCCACATTATTTTTACAAAATTAGGTGGGAAGCAAAATTTTTTTTTAATATGGGACAGAGTAACACAAAGCTTGGAAACCTCTGGTATATATAGTATAAATTAATAAAATTTGCACACTTAATTTCTTGATACTAATTCAAATGTTTAAGTTCCATTACTCTTAATTTGTCACTGATAGCTTGCAGTTCTTTGTAAATTTCTTTAATATCCTCTTTAGACAACTCTCCCTCATCTGAAAAATATTTTAAAACTGGTGTAAGGTTAATATTTATTTAACAAAATGAGAACCATACATTGCATTGACCAAGACAAAGAATAAGCTTCTTGTAACACACCTACTCTGACATGGCGTGGGAGCTTATTTCTTATGCTGTGGGTTATGTCAGTAGTATGGTTACTTATGTTATGTTGATATTTCAGGATGCCGACTAAGGCTTCTTCATTCTTCCACTTACTCTGTGTGTAGTGAACTCGTCTCGGACTTGATTAATACACGGTTGTAATGGCGTTCGCTGTATTCTTCCGCTTGAATTTTAAAATATATCATTGTTACTCAATGTTCTGTAACACATTTCTGACACTTCTTTACAATATTTGTAACGTATCATCGTTACACCGCTTCTGACACCATTTGTAACACACCTACTCTGACATGGCGTGGGAGCTTATTTCTTATGCTGTGGGTTATGTCAGTAGTATGGTTACTTATGTTATGTTGATATTTCAGGATGCCGACTAAGGCTTCTTCATTCTTCCACTTATAATCCGGGCACGCAAAATAAGAATACTGAATCCTGGTTAAACTTACAGTACTTTATTGAACACACTTTATATTGATAATATTATAAATAATCCTTGCAAGAATGTAATTTCACATATATATATCCATAGTACTCCATCATTAATAAAGACACGTCCTCACACTAAACTGTCAACTGTCTAATCACACAGCTCTCACGCTACTGACTCTACTGCTCTGCGCTCAGCTCTCTACTATATCAGTAAAGACACGTCCTCACACTAAACTGTCAACTGTCTAATCACACAGCTCTCACGCTACTGACTCTACTGCTCTGCGCTCAGCTCTCTACTATATCAGTCAACTCATACTTTATTACCAGCAAAGCGTGCAAAACAACCGCTCTGACAAAAACATAATTTTACTCTCTAAAAACGTGGAGCTCACATTTGTATCTCAAAAATACATGGTCAACACAATTCACTGTTCACTCATGCTACCTCTCTGTTTTCATGTGAAATGTTTTCATGTGAAAACATAGTCCGTTACAATTAAATTATACAATAATTATTTAACTTACCTTTTCAAAGCAAGAAAATACGTTCAAATTTGAATTTATATGAAGACTGCAAAAGTAAAGTTGTTTGATCAATAAAGGGTTACGCTAACTGGACACAATGATTTTGGGAGACTGCAATTGCATTGTGGGATAGATTTGCCACTTGTTTATCAAATCTAAAATTAGCCAACCAATGCTAATTGCAGATAGATGAAAGTTTAAATCTCGCCCAATAAGAACATTTGTTTGAGCGAAAGTATAGAGGGTTTGCGGCGGAACAAAGAGCTCCCGCCAGCCTTATTTCTGAACATTTTAGTGGGCAATACCATTACCGAGTAGAGTGGCTAAGCTTTCTACCAGATATGACTATATTGCGCTGTAATTGTATTATAAAAGCGAGGGGTGCGCCAGGGGGGGGTCTATGGGGCCAGAATTTTGCCCCTGAAGTCAAAATTTGATAATTTCAGACACTTTTTATCATGTTTAAAAATGTAATAAATAAACCAAGCGGTAATACCCGTAATTAAATGAAAGTGTGGAAAATCCCACACTTTAAGCATTTTGATGATATTTTGATTTGTGTTTTTTTTTTCATGCATGTTGCATTTTTAACTTTTGTGCTTTTACTTTATGGGGTTTTTTTTTAAAGAAAAAGTAGAGACTTTCGTTATTCAAAAATGTTAGATTTGAATCTCGGATATACCAAATAAGCTTATATCTCTTTAAAAGACACCCAAATATGATTTAAAGTGATTGCATACAAATGATGTCGAATTAACATCCCTTCCTACCTGTTGGCACAGCAATATCAGATTTTAAAGTTTGTATAGTAACAGTCATCAAAATGCAATCCCCAATTTCCACCTTCCTGATTCATTATGACACAAAGCGAGGATCAGCAAATACTTCTCCTTTCTTTTTAAAGCTTTGTGATTGAACTTACATTTTATATTGATCTATAAATGTACCCAATGTCCTATTAGTGATTTATTTTTAGAATTTCCTACTATACCCAATAGTGCTAATTAAATGTTGTACTTTTTTTTCAACAGATGTTTCATATTTCAAACACTGAGCACAGTTAAGTTCTTAATTATGTCTACAAAAGTCAGCCAATTAAATGAATTCCAGAGGAATCCTCGTGGTTTTTCCAAAGGGAGTTTAACTCGACCTGATGCAAATAAGAGTCGACCTAATTTGCATAAACTTTTGAAGGATCTGTGTTACTTATTCCATAAGATCAGTTATAAACTGGAAGATGAATGTCCATGTGATGTTGGTGACCAAGCTTTGGCAGTTTTCATTTTGATCCCTAAAGATTTCAGAGAAACAATGGTAAACAAATATGTTTGTTTAAATACATTAGGATTCTTTGTCATTTTCTTCAATATATTGCCCATATGGGGTTGGGATCACAAGGGAAACGATTTAATTTAAATTAATTTTAAATGGGCCCCCTTCATATAATTTTAACTTAGTCTATATTTCCATCAGGACATATAGTTAGATCTAAAAGTTTATTTAACTTTTAGTTTGGTTCTGTTGATTCCTGGGCATTTTCTCATTATTGCTTAGTTATCTTTGTATAAGCTTCATGAAAATTTTTCTATAATCATTTCAAGATTGTATAATTGGACTAGTTATGTTTCAACAAATTTCAATGCGTTTCCTCAAATGTTAAGAATTTAAGATAAATTTGAAAGTTTCTAGAATGTTCAAAATAATTATTAATTATAATAGACTAAGTTATACAAATTTATATATATATATATATATATATATATATATATATATAAATATAAAAGAGAAGATTTCTTAGTGGGTTTGTTTGTTTGTTCCACGAAGGTTTCTTAAGAATTTAAGATAAATTTGAAAGTTTCTAGAATGTTCAAAATAATTATTAATTATAATAGACTAAGTTATACAAATATATATATATATATATATATATATATATATATATATATATAAATATAAAAGCGAAGATTTCTTAGTGGGTTTGTTTGTTTGTTCCACGAAGGTTTCTGCATGGATTGAAGAATCTTGACCAAACTTAGCGGATATATCTAGCATTATCAAAAATTAAATACTTCTATGAGCTTTATAAATAAAATTACCAAGCAACAAATACTCCTACACTAATAGATGGATCGTGAACAAACTTTATACACATACACTTAATTATCCATATTCGAATACCGAAGAGTAATGAGCTCATTATATCCATTCCTCTGGGAAATGAGGCCCTATTTAATATTCCTTATATAAGCTATATAAATTTCAATAGGGGGGTGGCCATTAATTACGTCAACAAAATAAGGGGTATGGGGTTTTGGAAATTGTTTGACAGTTGACAAGAGGGAGGGGGATTTTTAGATTAGTTGATGTCTCGATTAAAAGTTTAATCTTAAAAATTGACTGGTTATTACATTATTTTTACAAATGTATAATTATAAGTAGTCATTTTTAGTCTTTTTGCAATATAAGATTTATTAAATGTGTGTCTGTGCACTGCTGATGGCATGGCTTGTCCGAATGTTAGCACACTTTGTTAGTGCAATAGAAGTTGAAAATCGACATCTCTTCGCCTGTAGATTCTCTTAGTCACAAATGACTAGGGCGGTATATTTTTTGATCATATTGCGTGTATGGAACGCGGACAAGATTCAAGTGTCATGTGCATTCAAGATAAATGATATTGATAGAGTAGGAATAAGATATTTTGAGAATTAGGGAAAAGTAAATGGATTAACAATAACATCGCTGCTTGAAAAGATTTGCAAAATCTGTAACATCTATTTTGCATCACTCATATAGACTTATGTCCATCTGTGTTTTTTCCGGGGTGAGGGGAAGGGCAAAACCAAAACTTGGTCAACTTGTTAAGTTGTTTATTACTGGATGCGCCACAATATGTAGCAATTAACATAATACCTGCAAATGCAAGGGTGGGGGAAAAAATGCCCTACCCAAATGATGTCCCTGTTGCCCATTGTTATGATACAGCAACACCTGGCTGCTCCATAGGAAGGATAGCAGCTAGAATCTATACTATAATTGTCAGCTTTACTGACAATAATCATATTTATACCCCAAATAGTGTCTTAAACAACCTTTTTTTTTTTTATTCTCCATTATCAAATTCAAGTGTAAAAAGCGTTGGACTGCTAAAGATGTAATTTTTTTCCTACAATTTTGTGTCATTATAATTGATCAGCACAAAGTGAAATGTATTTATGAAATTTATTTATACTGTAACTTTTTGGGGGGAAGTGGGGGCTGGGGTTATAAAATGTTGACATAATTAAATAGGAAGGTCATTGACAGTCATTTTTACACGTATCGAGGGGGATATTAATTTTAATTTAGAATGTTCTAGAAAGCTCTATGTTGTTCTACCGGGGATATTTAATGGAATCTAAACGCTTACAGTATTGGAATGTTTGTTAAGTTCTATACTTTCATGGGTGTTTTCTTTAAACAATCCTAATTGGAACATGATCGCAATAAGGAAGAGGAGCCTTAAGGTGAATAAGTAAACTGGAACCCACCAGTAACACGGCCCCACCAAGTGACCGGATCAAATAGCGATCCTAACTGCAAACAAGATCCCAGTAGGATCTGAACAGGATAGGTATCACAGCTGAAAAGCAGATCCCATGAGGATCTCGATCCCATGAGGATCTCGATCCCATGAGGATCTCAATTTGGTCGGGATCACCCGGATCAAGATACCGATGAGGTGGGGAAACCAATGGGATTGGGAGGCTGTCCCAGGCAGTGCCTGATATATTGGCTAGTTATAAATATTTTCTATAGCAGACATGATTGACACTGCTCTAATAACTTTATATTTTTAATGTAAAGGATTTGTTGTTCTTTAAATAAAATGTATGTTGTAATTTATTGTCTTTTTTTTCTTCTCCACAGTCAATATACAAAGCTGAATTACAAAATTTAGTTAGTCTTGTTGATGATTTATTGTCTTTGGACAAAGTTAAGGTTTTGAATGAATCAATGGATCTGAACAAAATTAATTCTGCACTTAAAAACTTTCTTCTGTGGAAAAGTATATCTTTATCAGGCTCTTCCATGTCATGGGCTATGAATGTTTTGCATTTGTTAGGCTTGAAATACAGTGGCCTGGAAAACTACGAGTACATACTGGAGTGTCCTTCTGGTGATCTTTATGGCCTTCAGCGACACATTTGTCAGATTTGGAAATGCGTCTATCATGAGATCGTTTCTCATAATGCTAATAGTGATCTTAAAAGGGATTTGAGTTTTCTTAGATATTCTACATCTGTTGTTAACAAAATAGTCTCAAAAATTCCAGATAAATTCATTAAGTGCCAGAATTCACTGTATTGGTCTATCCGTTACTTGAAGTATCAGATGTTTAATAATCCTTTGCTGGCATATATGCCAAGATATCCTTTTAAGGAGGAAGAGTTAAATAAATGGTTTGACCAGGACATGGAGGATTGTGATTGCAACTCTGATGAGGTTTGGCCACTCAAGATGATTAATGTCTGTGATGGTGTGGGTGATACAGAGGTTGAACGGTATGTCATATTACTCTTATATATCCTCATAATATTTAGGGTAAAAGAGCTTCTCTCTGCATGACATGTGTCCCTCATGAGGTTGAAGACTGAGGTTATTGGACTGTAAGTCGGAATAGGTTTATTTCGCTTTGTGTAACTTTAAGTTAAGAATCTGTTAGTATTTCTAAATCTAGCATTAGCATAGTTAATCAATGTGTTACCGGTATGTTCAATTACATCTAAATTCAATAAGGATCAGACGGTGACAAACTTATGCGGACAATATGTAAAAAAACAAAACAATTGATCGTATTTCAGTTACTTTTTTTGTGTTTTTTTTTTAGACTAAACATAAATTGTTCCGATGGCTGAAACATAATCCCCGTATATTGAATATTAGCTACCGGTACCTTGCTTGTACAAATGGTTGAAATTTAGTTTATGGTACCGGTTATGCGTAATTGCAATTATCATTCAATTCACTAATTCTTTCAAAATTTGACTACTGTGACACTCTTCTCGCAGGCATTCCTCAACACCACATAGACAAACTTCAGAAGGCACAGAACTCAGCATGCAGACTCATTTTTAAATCAAAGAAACATGACCACATTCAACCACACATGCGGCAACTCCACTGACTTCCAATATCCTCTCGCATCAAATACAAGTCTGCCAATCTTTGCTTCAACTCGTTCACTGACCCTCACTTTCCTGTCTATCTCTCTGAACTGTTGCTTCCTTACATCCCCACAAGACAACTACGTTCTTCCATTGACAGTAGAACCCTCTCAATCCCAAGAACTAAAACTAAGACCATCGGTGAACGCTCCTTCTGCTTCCATGGGCCCACGTTCTGGAACCAGCTCCCCTTCCATATCCGTCCTTGTGAAACCTCGTCCATTTTCAAAAAGTCCCTTAAAACTCATCTGTTTATGTCCGCCTATGACCTGTGATGCACCCTCCTTGCCTACCTCATTTTCTGCTTCGGGTTAATCCTAAAGTGTCAAAGTGTCCTCGTTTTATAGCCATTTTCATTGTTTCTATAGTATAGTAGTAACTATCCTAGTGTCTCATTTTTATTTACTTAGTTTACATGTTTTAATAATTGTAAAGCGCTTAGAGCTTTATGGTAAGCGCTATATAAAAATGCCTAAATAAATATCTAATTTGAACATCGGAACTGTTTCTCACACAGTTTTGCTAGTACCAGGTTAGGGGTCATGCTAATAGTAATAATATTTGCTCTTTTAGAATAAAATGAGATTTTTTTAATCCCCCCTCCTCTCAACCCCCTTCCCCAATTGTGCATGTACTTAAATGAGCTTCAGAAAAATCGCATCCCTGTCTAGCAGGCCCATTGGTTTCCAAAATATGTGCTACAACGTCTAGGGCTGCGCTTTGTCCACTGGCAGGGCCATGAGAAAGGGTTAAAGGCCCTTAAACTTGAAAGGAAATTAAAGTGTAAAATCCTGTGTTCTTTACTAGGACATGGGGAACGAAAAATTATCTTTTGACTATGCAGAACTTTTTTCTTTCGAGTTTCAGAATTTGTTGCAGTCAGCAGTAACTCATTTTTTTTATTACCAATAGCTTGTTGCGGTTAGTAGATCACATTTGTACAAAGTTTTAGTCTATATACAAATGTGTTTTATTTTATTTAATAGTTATGCACTGCCTTCAATATGTTAATTTTTTTACTTTAAATAAACGATTTTGTGATGACATTGTACGATTTTAAGAGTTTGAGGGTAAACATCTTTCCAATTGTTAAAATGTTTGGGCCCTTTAGTAAATTTTGGAGCAAGGGATTATAAAGCCATGATCAATTTCTTTTCTATTACCCGAATAACGATTGCAGATAAGCTTTAGATTTCTTCCAAATCATGGGTCATGCACCAGTACTCATAGGCATAAGGTGTCAGTAATGGCAAGTGGAATAAGGGAGGACAAATTAAAAATTGTAATAAAAATTGTAATAATTTTTGTCTTTTTTCTTAGGTATCTTGAGAATCAGGACTCAGAACTTTTCTTCCATGGAACTTCACATAATGATGCGATGTTCATATTACAAAGAGGTGTGGATTTGTCAGAGGGGTCCAGTGGACAAGACTTTTCAAGTGGCGATGGTTTTTATCTCTCTGATAACTTAACGAATGCAAGGGAATGGGCAGGTGCTGGAAGAGGCGAGAAGTACCAGGCAGTTATTGTTTATAAACTAAATCTTGCTGATCATAAGGGCCTTGACTTGGACGGAGTGAGCGATATTTGGCAGGATGTTGTTGCCCTTTGCAGAGACCAATATGAAAACAACCTACCAATAATGGAAAGTTTGAAGAATGTTAAATACATTAGAGGTCCTGCGAGTAGTAATGCAGTCAGTGCCATTCAAAATAAAAGCAAGTTTGAATCAGAAGGAAACATCCAGCTATGCATCAGAGATAAAGATTTTGCCAACAGTGAGTGCAACACTAAGAACATTTGCTGTGTAATCTTCTATTAACTCATTCTTTACTGCAGTGCTACTTCTATACTTTTATACCTTGGAAAGGGAAATAACTCTGTTTGCAATGGTCCAATGTTTAAGCTGTTTTGTTAACTTCCCGTTTTTAAAATGAAATTTTGCAGGATCACGCAATCGATGAAAGTCTCGAGCAATGTGAGATTTCATTGATATTTTTTAACTAAAGATGAGGTAGTTGTGTCACTATGCGCTGAGACGCATTGATCAAAACCCCAAGGGATGCATTTAGTCGCAACCGTCTTAATTCCTATTGGCTTGACCACAAACATCTATATTATTATACCCCAAGTTAGAGGAATAGCTCTAAATTACAAATTGAGTTCTTTTACAAAGTTCAACACATCTCACTGATTTTAAAACCAATCGATGGGAAATGTTATGATGTAGAGAAATGAATTATCTATCTAATGATACGAAATATGTAAAGAAAATATTACATGTTAGAAAATATGAAGAAAAAAATTATATTTTGCAGGACAATTTCTTTACTTTATTTTTATCGTTAATAATACATACCTCATTTTAGCTTGGCATGGAACTGAGCAAAACAGACCTCATCTCAAAGCTGTATGTTAAACAAAACACATCCAAAAACAGTTTCCGATATTTTATTTTAGTCGGTGCGAATGTTTTTCTGCCGACACTGGAAACATTATTTTGTATGCCCTCTGAGCTGAATTCTGCGACTATGCTTTGAAGATGTTCCAGCAAAACCTCCAGCAGCAGGGACCTCCACCTGTCTTCTTTACCTTGATGAATCTTTCATAAGGCTGTGGGCAATGTCCAAATGAAAAATGAAATGGGACACTCCTTTGATGGTCAGGGTGTGGCATTTTTTTTTTTGTATACCTGTACCGGTAATGTAAATACATTCAGCACCTCCGCCTCAATCAATAGTCATAGACAGCATCTCCACCACCTCTGGCTTTTTTTTTTCGTATAAGGTAAGTAAGATCTCAGCTGATCATATCTGTCCACACCAACCATATTGGCATCGTAGATGAGTACAGACTGGGGATCCTTTAGGCTAAGAGTTAGTTGAAAGCATGGAGTGGAGATGGCACGTTGGTCCCTCCACCAACATGCAGCCCCACTGCCTATCTCCCTCATTTCACATTGATTTTTATTTTTTCCCCTTGAGATCTTGGCCATACTGATAAAGGATCTGTTGACTAGTATATAGTGTATGCATGTAATTTATGTACACCAAACCTTTTTATGTATATAACTTTTATTAATGTTTCAATGTCAGGGACAGGTGTGAAATTGTTAGCATTCCTGTTGGCGGCATACCAATTAGTATGGTTTATAAATCATTTGAGGTATTTCATTAGGTAAAAGTAGTTTTTAAAAACCCAGTAGCTGTGACTGGATCTATATTTAAACATACCCAACACTTGATGTAAACATGTCCATTTCCACTGGTAGCATTCCAAGAAAAAAACAGTAGTAGTAGCTGCATTATCACTATCATCAGAGCTCATTTTAAATATTACTACCATTATTATTAACACTTTCGTCAGGATTTTCGCCAAATCCATTTTCAATGTCACTTTCATTTTAATCATTATCACTTTTAATAGGTACAATTATTGAAAAATAAAGCAAAATTTTATTAAAATCTGAAGGCAATGCTTTCAATTCAATGATTTTCAAAAATATTTAGCTTGTGTGTTTTTCGACATATTTCTTTCCGTTAAATGTAAAAGGAAGTAAAACTTTTCTACTTTCCAACTATAGGCGATTTATTACTTTAATTTAAACCAACATTTTCTGGTCCAATATACCGGTATCCGTTATTTCATTTTGGTATGAGTATATAGCCAACGATGTCGTGCGATACAGTATAAAACGCTAGCGGGGGATGCAGGAAGTTACTGGTTAAATTTAAAACACTTGGTTGGAAATTTCAGTGATGATTTTGTGGCAAATGCTTTAAAAGTTTTTTCTTTAATGTTTATGCCATTGATTATTATGAATTGTAATACATATTTTTCACTTAATTTTAATGTGCTCCTTCAACATTGAATCTCAAAATGCAAATAGGTTGTGAAATTCCAATGTTCAGACTGCATCATGCACACCTCTTTTTCCTTTTTTATGCACTATTTTTTTTTTCGGGGTATACTCCGTATAAACCTTTTCAATTCTGTTTTAACTCACTCAACTCCTTAACCGCCGCTAGTACTTGAAGTTGTAGCATCTAGATCAGGCAACTTGATTACCTGTTTACATGTTGTTACATAATAAATGAAAATCTTGATATTTAAATGAAAATCGCGTGAGAGACGAAACCAAGGCACTCTCAGTTTTTCATTGTATAGATTGCTTGATGATTATATTTTTTTATTAGGATCATGTGTAGTTATGGAATGTGTCTTATTAGACTTTTAACTTACACTTGGAAATAATTAACCGGTAGTACAAAACATAAAACAACTAATGAAGAATGCTAGTCAATTTCATATATATATATATATTGCAAATAACGTAAAAGTATAGTTCCCCTTTGGCTGGGCTTACAATACAAGTGATAAATTTCTGAGCACCCAAACTTGAATTTTGAATGGGTTACCAAATAGCCCTGCAACTGAAATATGAAATATTGTACTTTCTTTGTGTTCATTCATTTCCATATCTGGTGAATGGTCTTTCTATCTCCTATCATTTCAAAAATTTTATTTAAATTGATATATAATTATGAAGAAAAGCTATATTACAGCTTTGATGTGAAATGTACGATTTTAACTTCAAATAAATATCTTACTTTTATTTTTATGAGTGCACGCCAAGACTGTCAGTGTGGATCTGTATACACTGTAATTAAAAAAAATGAATAATACTAATATCTTTGAGTTTAATTTTAATATTTATTTGAATGTTTTGTGTCCTATAAAAGTAATTGTACTGGATTCCATGACAATTGAACTCTTGTAATTTAGTGTAAAATGAAACCACGATAAAAGATGGGTCTGAAGAGCACTTTACCCAAACTTAAAAGTTTTGGCAGGCTGATACTTTACGCCATTGCACCATGCTAGTGCTCAGAAATTGCACCGGTCAACAGATTTCATGATTTTACACAGACGTGGTGGATACTATTTAAAATACCGTGAAACAGGGTGACTTTGCCCACTTTTCGCCTTTAAGCATAAATTTCAACATGTTAACTGATCTAAAAACTAACACAAAGAGGCTAATGTACAGAGTGGGTACCTGAACTTTGTTGTCATAGCTGAATTAATTAATAGTTTGATCAGATTAAGTTGATAATTCAGTTTTTTTTTATTTTTCAACCTAAGGAAAAATGGGGTGACTTTGCCCTTTTACGGTGAAAGACAGTACAATGCATGTAGAAATTACAAAACCAAGCAAATAAGTTATTTTCTTTTCTGTATTTAATGTTTAATCATAATATTTTATTATAATGAAAGGTTGGAAGAAAATATCACATAAAAAATGATTGTCAGTGATCTATCCTTTCGAGGCAAACCTTCATCATAAAATAATTGTATCAGGCCGTGGGGTGACTTTGCCCCTTGCTGTGAAAGAAAAGCAATAACGATTTATTAAACTTTAACTTTTTGTCACTGAAATGTATGCACATTAAATGCGTAGGGAAATTAATTATAATACCTTAAAATGAAAGTTCAAACTCACCTAAATCAGCAAAATATCGATGTCCCGAGTCTAAGAGCTCAAATTCAAATCTTATTGTTTGGCATGGTAAGGAAAGCGAAACAATATAAAGCAACATGTCTGCTTTCATTTTCATAGGAAGTAAAAAAAATTAGGGGAAAGAACTCTAGAAAATCATGAAAAACAACTTTCTCAATATAAGTATTTAATAGGCAAAGTCACCCCATTTCACGGTAATAAAATGTTTTACCACTGACAGACATTTAGTACAAACAAGTATGGTAGTTGATACCAGTACATGAATTAAATGAATTCAGAAGAGATACCTTTTGAGACTATAATTCAGTTTCAATTTTGTTTATTTACCGGTATATTTCAGGATCGAGATCAATGAATGGTTGTGTAAATTTTTAATGAAGATACATGTACACGTTAATGATATTGTTAGGTAGTAGGAGGTAATCTTTTTTTTTAATTTAACCTCCCTAGTCCTGAGAAACAAGTTTGACTGAAATTTAACTTGACACCTATTTTATTGTGATATTAGTAGATGGTATTAGTGATGCTCAAACACTAAGAAAAAAGACCAATTCAAACAAAAAATTTGGATATTTGATGTGCAGTCCATTGGACATCGGATTCAAAATCAATTTTTAAGTCTTAAATTTTGAGGGTTTGAATTGGAACCTTTTGATTATTTCCATCTTTATTTTGGTTATCAATTCTACACAGATTTTCATCCTGCGGCTATACTATATGTTATATATCGGACTGCCCTCCCCCACCCCCGGAGCAAGTCAAGTGAAATGTGTAAGAAAAAAAATTTAATTAAAATATTGTGTATAACATTTTAAAAGGTAATATAAATGTGTCCATTACAGTTAATGGAACTTATAAAATATCGCATTACAAATATCACAAATAATGGAACCAAACAATAACGCTTTTTCGATATATTATATATAGGCCTACCGTATTGATGATTCATATCTTTCAAGTTACGGTAATCTTGTTACAGGCTCACAGAATTCGATTATATAATAATTACCATATTGTTTTCAAAATTGGCCGCTCCTGATATTATTTAATTTTATGCCTAAATAGTATATTTTATTATTTGCATTTCGCGGTATTTGTATTTATTTTTTGCAGCTATACAATTTGAAAGATTTAAGCACTGTATTAAACTACCCTTATATCGATATATATGTCTATCAATTGAAAATAGTTATTGCTAAGTAATTAACATGTGCAATATGTTTTTAAATTATATTTCATTATAAAAATAAAAGCAAGCCCAATATTAACTAAATTCATTCCAGTCGGGAGCCCTAATGATATGCTTTTTTGTCAAGAGCAGATACTCCCTAGCTTAGACTCGCCCCTTAAATCCTTAAAACTTAGGCCCCGGAAAATTTTTAGATAAATTATACACCTAACTGGAGAGCAACGGGAGAGGTGTCACTTGACCTCGGAGCCATCGTGTGAGGTCTGCAACCCATATAACTGCATGGGGCCGCGTATATTTTAGGGGCTTAAACTTTAAGTTAAAATTTTGCTGTAATTACTTTAAATATCAACTTTTACTGTTTGGTGGGGAAGGAAAAAACTGAAAAGAAACAGGGGTGCCACAAAAGGTCAAGCGACGTCTCTGCTTCTCTAGGTGTGTTAAGTTATACAATTACAAATATATATTTTTTAGGCTGAATCTATAGGTACCCGGGTACCTATGGTCACCAATGACTATTCGCACCCGGAGTGGCTCCATACATATTAAATGGCTTCGGAGCCGAGTGTGATAACAATAATAGTAATAGTATGAGAATTTTTTTTTAAAATATATTTTTCTCCCTGTCACTGTTATTTCATTGATTCATAGTTTTATTATTTTTAGTTGTTTGTTTTTTTTAAATTTTTTGCTTTGTTAATTTCTCTTAGTACCGGTAGGGTTTTTTTTTCTTATTTTCTTTTTTTAGTTTCAGCCATTTTCGTAGATCAATTTTTTTTTTTTAAATCTAGTAATGAAGGTGATTTAGATACCGTACATTTATTGTTTTCATTTGAATTTTAGAAAAGTAATAATATTAATTTAATTATTAAAATTAAATCCTTTATTTAAGATTATTTATATGTATTGTTTAAGTTAAAAGATGTAATCACACAGTACTTATACTTTATGAATTAATTAGGTATTCTAAATAATGAAAATTTCATTCATAATGAGTTAATTTCAACTATTCCTCTAGAGAGCTTGGCTTAGTCAGAACAAAACCACCAATTTTAAACTTTTTCCTTGGCACTTTGAGTCAAACATGTGGACACTGACTGTTTATCCTGATATCTCGAATCTCCTTTCAACAACCTTTCTCATTTGACTTGACCTAATTCACAAGGTAGTTGCAATGAACATTTTAAAGTTAAAGGAAGCCATTGTATAAAGCATGAGAAAGAGACTTATTTTTGGAGGATAGTCTTTTTTTTTTTTACCATATCTGTTTACTGGGTCCAACACACTGGGACATAATTTAATAGAAAAAAAAAAACTTAACTGACTTGAGAACATTTTTGTTTAGTTGTTAGATATTTGAGTTGTGCATTCCAGTAATCCATAAAATAAATTAGGGGCCAGTATGGAGTAGGCAGCAAATAAACTCATTCATTTAGGTCACATCATTCCTTTGCCATTTGTCGCCTTTTACTTTCTCACCTTCATTGTTGGTACCCGTACAATTAACTATTGTTTGTATTTCATCATTTAAGGACAGAAGTAATGATTGAGTGGGAGCAAATATATGTGATCTGTGAAGGGAGTTTGGTTTCAAGGCAACCAAGATGACTAAGTCATGCCACATTGAAAATAAAATACTGATAACCTAAATAAACAGAGCCATTGAAAAAAATATAGTACCGGGTACATACAAACCATAAACAAACAGAAATACAAAAATCCACTGAAGTTTTTTTTTTTAAATTTGTTGTGACTTTTATTGCAAAAAATTAAACATTTAATACCGGTACCAATTTTGACTTTACGCAAAATGAATAAAGACAAATTTGTATTGTACTGTATTGTAAATGAAACTTGGCATACACATTAAGAATGGCATTGACCAAAAGTTTAAAGAAGATTATTACACAGTGTGGTGATCTGACTTATGACTTATTAATGAGGAGTATCTCTCGTATGAGATCTCCTCTTGGCACTCTGTCTAGGGATTCGTTATTTAAGCCAAATTACCACACAGACATAACACCTATCTATATACATATAGTATAGACTGAAACGAAGTCTTAGTTAAGGGTGAAATTAACTAAAAATATTTATTACAAAATAATATTTACAACTTCCTCCGTAAAACACTCGTGGTGCTTAATATATATACCACAAACGGATTTCATCCAATTAGAAAGGTATATTAACACAAAGCAAGTGTCCCTAACATACAGACGGTATCATCATTACTACTGCTGTATTGCTCAAGTTCTATGCTCGATCTTGGTAAACTTAGCCTTTATAGTTTCTGTGATGGTCTCGGTGGATCACACAGTGTAGGAGTCCTTCTGTTCTAGAAGCGTATCCCTGATCCGGCCTTCGGTGCTGTTCTGAGCGTAGCGAAGTCGGAGTTCCCGGTCGTAGAGTCCTTGGGATGTCTGCGAGGGGAAGATGACTCTCCCGCGATAAATCGTGGTGGTGAGAGTCCCTGGATCTCGAAGTCCTAGCTGTCAGGTAGTTTGGTGTAGGATGTTGATCAATCCCCTAGTTCCAGCTCAAGGTAAGTCGGTCCAGTAATAGAAACCAGGCTAAAGGCAAAATGATACAAAAATGGATAAGTATTTATTTATTTATTTATTTAGGCATTTTTATATAGCGCTTAACAATTATTAAAACATGTAAACTAATTAAATACAAATGAGACACTAGGATAGTAACTACTATTCTATAGAAACAATGAAAATGGCTATAAAACGAGGACACTTTGACACTTCAGGATCAACCCGAAACAGAAAATGAGGTAGGGCAAGGAGGG